AAAGCTTCCACCTGCTGTGACAAGTGGTGTGACATCTATTCTGCATGTAAACCTATGGATGAAAGAATTCCCAAGCCCTAAATAAACCAAAATTCAATATTACCCAGAGATCACAGCTTTCATGCTTAAGATCTGGAGACGTTTTCAGTGAAATAGGATACATGTATATTCTGGGTCTGTTAAGTGATTTAGCCTTTATGTCGGTCTGAACAAATACTTATTCCTTCATTGTTTTCCTTCCTTACGCCCTTCCCATGTTTTCAAACTGGCAAGTGACTTTTGTGGCCGGAGCGCTTAGCGGAAGCCCCAGCTGCTCTCTGGGTTTTCCAGGTGAAATCTCAGCTTCCCGGGAACAAATTCCCTCTCGCGCAGGTGCTGGCCTGCAGCTGTAAGTCTTGGTGACATCTCTGTCCCGTGAAATCAAAAAACATTCTGAGGCCCAAACATCTTGCTGCCTGCGCTGTCGCCGACACAAGGCGCTTCTCCGGAGGGAGAGTGATCTCGGATCCCTCTCAGGGGCTTTGGCGTCGTCCGAGCTACGTGGCGGGCTGCGAGGTCGCAGATCCGGCGTCGGCGCCGTGGCACGTGGCCGAGGTTGGAGGAGTAACTCTTCGCTCTTGTCATTGTTCACTGTGCGTTGCAGCTCTCCGAGACCACGGCCGAGTCCCACCTGATGGAGAAGGAGCTGGAGGAACTGAAGAACCGCAGCCGGCGGAGGAAATGAAGACGAAGAGGAGGACGGCGGGGGAAGCGAGGAGGCCGGCTCGGGGTCTCGGCTGCCCATGGGCACCGGACAGCCGGGGGCTGTTTTGCACCTCCTGATCCCGTTGGGTACGGTGTGTAGGTACTTCGTTCTGCAACTCCGCGAGTCACAAGATGCCTCCGGTGTTGCGCGGTGCTGTAGGTACCGCGTCACGGCGGGTTATCACGCCGTCACGCTGTTAATTAACACTCCCCTTTTTTTTTTTTTTTTTTAATCAAGAGCACTTTTTACCTGGCTCCCTTCCCTCCCTGCAGCCCAGCCCAGGTACCCTCTTCCCTGACCAGAGCGGGGGGAGAAGATCCGCCTCGGGGTGGGGTGGGCGCAAAAACGTGGGGAGACCCCCCCCCCAAAAAAAAATCTGTCCCCTCAGGGGGAGCCTGTGGTGGCTTGCACAAGCTTCGGGATGCCGGAGTTGCTTGTTCTCAAGAGTTTCGCTTATTTTACATAAAAATTTACATTTCAAACCAGATTCTGTGGGTGTTTGCTATGGCGAGGGGCGCGCTGCGAGCTGGGGGGGGGCCTGGGGAGGGGTCCCGGCGCAGGCGCTCCTCCAGTCCGCCAGGGGTCGCTGTCTCCCCCCCCGCAAAGTCCGGGGGAGGACCGCCCCGCTTCCGGCGTCGCTCCGGCCGCCGTTCCGCTTCCGCTGGCTCACCGCCCCCTCCGTCCCTGGCCGGTGGTGATGGCGGCCGCTGCGTCCCTCTCTCCGGAGGAGCTGCTGCCCAAGGGCGGCTCGGGCAAGGCCGAGGAGCTGGAGGACGAACTGGAGGAGGAAGACGACGACGAGGAGGTAGGAGAACGGTTGTCGGCGAGGCGGGGACGGGCGGGGTGACCCCGGCGGGTTCGCAGGGCCGGGGCGGGCCTGATGCGGTGTGTGCCTCCCGCAGCTGGACGAGACGTTGGCGGAGCGGCTGTGGGGGCTGACGGAGATGTTCCCCGAGAGCGTCCGTTCGGCGGCCGGAGCCACCTTCGACCTGTCGCTGACGGTAGCGCAGAAGATGTACAGGTGAAGGGACCGGCGGGGCGGGAACCCCCCACCCGGGGGGGGTCCCGCGGGGGGGGGGGCCCCCATGCGGGGCTGGCGCCCGGGGACGCGGGGACGGCGGGGCCGCGGTCTTTGTTTCTGCGCGATGGGGGGCCGGGGGGGGAAGCGGGGGAAGGTTTTTCTCTGAGGCACGGGGAGGAACCTGGGTAGAAGCCTGGCACCCGTAGGCAGCGGGCGAGGAACCCCTCCTTACTCATAACGAGCTTTCTCCTTCCTAGATTTTCCAGGGCAGCTCTGTGGATTGGGACCACCTCCTTCATGATTCTGGTTCTTCCCGTCGTCTTTGAAACGGAAAAACTGCAGATGGAGCAACAGCAGCAGCTGCAGCAGCGACAGGTGAGGCGGGAAACGTTCAGGCCCTCTTGGAGCCAGCCGGGGGTGCCTGCGCCTCCTCCTGGTTACCAGCGGTTGAAGGTGCTTAGGGAACAGGGCGTGGGTTCGTTGTAGCTTCTGGTCTTGTTTCATCCCACTTGATGCTCCGGTGGGATGATCCTGCCAATTCCCGGTAACTCCGGTAAACGTTAAGCCGGCTTTGGCTGGGCTGAAATACACGGCGAGGGCTGCCCGCAGGCCAAAACCCGCCCCGTTTGCATTTGGCATGCTTGAGCGTTAAAACTCAGTTGTCTGTCCTAGCAGGGGAGGAACCGGTAACGGCAAAACGCTGCCGGTACCGTCGGCACCGAGCAGCTGCGGGGGCGGGGGGGGGGGGGGTGGGGGGGGGGGGCTGCCTGCCCTTCC